AAAACAAGAATGTCCACTCTTCATGATCCAATTCAATATAGTACTAGAATTCCTAACCAGACAATAAGGCAGGAGAAAGAAATAAAAGAGATTCAAATAGGGAAAGAAAATACTGAATTATCCCTGTTTTCTGGTATGATCCTATACTTAACAGACCCTACAGATTCTACCAAAACTTCTAAAACTGATAAATGGCTTTAGAAAGGTAGTATGATATTAAATCAATACTTAAAAATCAATAGACTCAGCCAGGTGCTGGTGGCTCACGCCTGTAATCCTAGCTACTGAGGAGGCTGAGATCTGAGGATCATGGTTCAAAGCCAGCCCGGGCAAGGAAAGTCCGTGGGACTCTTATCTCCAATAAATCACTAGAAAACCAGAAGTGGTGCTGTGGCTCAAATGGCAGAGCACTCGCATTGAGCTGAAGAACTGAGGGACAGCTCCCAAGGCCAGAGTTCAAGCCCCACAACCGACCAAAAAAAAAAAAAAATCAGTAGACTCCTTTCTCCCCTCAACACCCCCTCGCCAATGCTAGGATTGAACTAGGGCTTGCCTAAGGGCCCTGTCTCTTAACTTCTAATATTTCACTCAAAACTGGTGCCATAGCTCCACTTCTGGCTTTTTCCTGGTTAGTTGGAGATTAGAGTCTAGGCTTTGAACCATCATCCTCAAATGTCAGCCTTCTGAGTAGCTAGGATTGTAGGTATATACATATATATACACACACACACACATATATACACACATATGTGTATATATGTATGTGCATGTATACATATATATGTATATATGTGTGTGTATGGATACACACACATACACACACACACTAAACAAGATGTAAAAGAAATCAGGAAAACAATTCCCCAAAGAATAAAATACCTAGGTATTAATACCTAGGTGTTAACCAAGGAAGTAAAAGACCTCTACAATGAAAACTATAAAAATTTGAAGAAAGAAATTGAAAAGGACATCAGAAGACCTTCCATGCTCATGGACTGGCAGAATTAATATTGTGAATATGGCCATACTACAAAAAGCAATCTACAGATTCAATATGATATCCCCCCAAATCCCAATGTCATTCCTCACAGAATTAAGAGAAACAAATCCAAAAATACATATGGAGGCATAAAAGATCCTCAAGTAATTCTAGGTAATGAGTACTTCTGGGGGTATGTAACATATTTCAAATAATACTATAGGTCCACAGTTACAAAAATAGCTTGATACTTGCACAAAAACAGATCTAAAGACCAACGCGACAATATAGAGCATCCAGAAATAAAACTACACAGCTTCAGCTAGCTAGTTTTGGCTCTTTTTGACAAAAAATAAAATGAGGGAAAAACAGCCTCTTTAACAAATAGTGTTGGGAATCCACCTGTGGGAAACTGGCCCTATATTTCTAACCCTGTATAAAAATGAACTCTAGTTATATCAAAAAGCTGAAAGTAACACAGGAAGTTTATAGCTACTATAAGATAGCAGGAAAAACTCTGGAAGATGTGGGCATAGGTAAATTTTAGGATAGAACTAAAAATTGACTAATGGGACTATATCAAATTAAAGAGTTTCTAGACAGCAAAAGAAGCAGTCAGTAAAACCAACAGAAAACCCACAGAACAGAAGAAAATCTTTGCCAGATATTCAACAGATAAAGGATGAATATCCAGAATATGCAAGAAACTAAAAAAACTTAAACAATAAGAGAACAATCCAATTAATAAATCAGCAAGTGAAATGAACCAACAGTTCTCACAAGAACCACAAAAGGCTTATAGATCTATTAAGAAATAGCTGGGCACCAATGGCTCATACCTACCTATGCAGCAGGCTGAGATTTGAGGATTGAAGTTGGAAGCCAGCCTACTAACCTTGAGCAAAAGGAGCTCAGGGACAGCCTCCAGGCCCAGAGTTCAAACACCAGGACTGGCTCCCACCAAAAAACTAAACTAAAATAAATGGTCAACCTCCTTAGCCATAAAGGAAATTCAAATCAGAACCAGACTAAGGCTCCAATTACCCTAGTCAGAAGGGCAGCTATCAGAAAACAACAACCAGGAATTTTTATACACTATTGGTGGAGGTCAGTAGGAGGTTCATCAAGAGACCAAATATAGACCTTCCCAATGAATCTGCCATACCACTCTTGGGACTATATCCAAAGGAGAGTAAATTAATATGTAAGAAAGACATCTGCATGAATATGTTTATTGAAGCACTGTCTATAATAGCCAAATGATGGACTCAGCCAACGTACCCTAGAACAGATGGGTAAAGAAAATATGGTGTACACACACACACACACGCACACACACACACACACGCACATGCACACGCACACATCCATACCATGGAATATTGCAAAGCAGCAAAGAAAAATGAAATCATGTCATTTACAGAAAAGTGGATGCAATTAGAGAAACAAGCCAAGCTCAAAATAATATCATATGTTTTCACTCATATGTGGAAGCTCGACCTAAAAGATATACATATTCTTGGACATGTTCATACATACATATCCATTTACATAAGTATATGTGGATAAACATAGAACATGAATCTAAGGGATTACTTAGGAGGAAACAGGAAGGGGAAGGGAAAAATAATAGAGGGTGAGTAAATTTGAAATACATTTTGAAAGAGGATGAACAGAGGATCAAAATAGAGTGTTTTCAACTATGGAAGTCGAATGAGAAAACCTGCTGAAATTGTTTTGGGAAGAGGGGAAGGGACAGTCATAGATTGGATTGGAACATATTGTAAACATGTGTGGAAATGTAACTATGAAGCCTCCCTCTTTATAACTAATGTAAGCTAATAAAAAAAATAAGATCCAAAAATAAAGGCCCAGTGTGAGAGCCTGAAGTCTGCCTTTCCCTACTATGTACCTCTGGCTAGAAGACTGGGGGCTTCTCCCTCACAGGACTATCCCATTGGCTTCTAGGTCCATCTGGGAGAGTTGAATGCTGGCACAGTCCATTTGGATGTGCTGCCCTCAAAGCATCATTTTTAATGGGCTTTATCACAGGGCCAGGAACTAAGCCTAGGTGAACAGGAATTCATTGATCTGGGGGTGTTTTCTTGGGATGAAGATTTAATGCCCTGGGCAAGAAATCTAGCTAGGTGTTTCTGAGAGGTATAAGAAAGTGATAGGTAGGCAAAGGCTGAGCCTGAGCTGGCAGAAAGCAGAGGAAGCAGGGATGGAGGTAGGGGAGGGGGGCCATAGTGGAATGAATGTACCACCTGAGTCCAGGAGACTAGCAGAGTATACTGTTTAACCACAGATTGCCAAATGGACTGTCATTGTTAGGAGTTTCTGCAGATGGGATAGGTCAGCAGGAAAGTACATCACAGAGCTGGGACACTATGGGCTCTAGAGGGGCGGGGGTCTGAATAGCTTAAATGCTCTGTGTTTAAGTTTAGGCATTCTAGGGGAAATGACCCTCAGAGTAAACAGAGGGACACAGACTGGGTGGGCAGAGCTCAGGGCAGGGAGGAGCTGCTCTCAGGTTCATAGGTTCCAAGTCTGACCTCAGAATTCACAAATCTGGAGAAGATTATACTTTTAACAGAAGGCATCACACACTACTGCGGTGGGTCATAGGGAAGTGCACCACAATCTTTCCTGAACAATAAACTAGAGATTCGTCAACTGTCCTATCTAGTCGCATGACCTACTTTTGAGCTGAATGAAACACCACATGATGCAGCTGAGATGTGTTTTTTGCTGTTGCTGGTGGTAGTGGGGGTGGACTTGAACTCAGGACCTGAGTGTTGTCCCTGAGCTTTTTCACTCAAGGTGAGCACTCTACCACTTCAAGCCACAGCACCACTTCTAGTTTTCTGGTGTTTAATTGGAGGTAAGAGTCTTACAGACTTTCCTGCCCAAGCTAGCTTCAAACTATGATCCTCAGATCTCAGCCTCCTGAATAGCTAGGATTACAAGTATGAGCCACTGGCACCTGGATTAAGATGGTTTTGACACAACAACCTAGAAACACTGGAACAACTGTCTAGAAACAGTGCCATCTCAGGTGGGCGATGGCAGCATTAACGAATTCTTGGTCGACCTTTCCTATGATTCATGTGGTAGGAATTGGGGGGCAATATATAGCCCTACTGTTCTTCCAAGTAGGAATACTGGAGACTTGAATACATTGTCCTCAAGTTCTGGCTGAAACTGTCCTTTCCTGAGATTCCAAGAGTGGCACTAACTTGGGATAACTGTCTTCTATCTTTTCCTCTCCTAATGTGAACATGCTACCGCTGATTTTGCCTCTCAGAGGTGTGCAATTTACCTGAGTCAGTTAATTGAGTTCCCCAGGCCTCAATTTCCACAATATAGAAGTAATGAAAGAAGCTCTATAGGCTATTATGGTGGTTAAATGGCAATACGCACGTCGTCTCCAGAACTGAACCCCACACAGAGCAGGTGCTCAGCAGTAGTTGCCATCATCATCATAAGGGCACATTCCCTGTGCCTCATTCACCACCACTACCACTGTCTAATAATACACAGTCTGGAGGAGAAAAGAAGTGCTCTAAAATTATTCCCAGAGCCACCTTGCTTATAAGGCCACCACCCAGAATCTCTGTAGGCACAGAGAAATCAACCTTACAACTACAAAAGCCAAAAGGTGAATGAACACAACAGAACCCAAGAGTGCAGCTGCAGTGATTAGAGAACTCTATCACAGGCTAAATCAAAGCTGATTTAAATGAGCAAGCAGATGCTTAGCGAGAGGGCTCAGGCAGTGGGAGGACAGTGAAACTGGAAAGGAAAGTATGCTTCCAATACACCTCTAATATTTGGAAATCTCTCTTACATAGGCTCAACAAGTTCAATGTAGGGACAGAAGAGTTGTTGTAGAGGAAAGAGCTATTTTACACTAGCCAGTAAGTATGCAGCAAGTATGAGCCATTCCTAAGCACCCTTTGTAAGCGAAGCCAGTGTCAGAAAGGTACTATTGCATAACACATTTCCCATGGTGGCTTACTTGTTGCTGTCTTTGTATTCATAGATATGACATCCTTGAGGCAATCCAGTCTCGTGGTCCACGGTGAAAGCAAGTTTTAGCTGAACAAAGAGAGAAGAGAAAAACAGTGAATTTTAGGCAGCACATTCTACTCATTCTAACAGAGAACTAAGAACTAAACAAAGAACAAAGAACTAAACAAAATCAACTTCCTCTAGCAGACATGTTCCTCTCTGGGAACTGCCCACCTGCAGGAACTCTACCATCAACAAGGACTGTTCATCCTTCAGGTATTCATGGAGTGCTCCTTTGGGCTTTTCACTGTGCTAGTTGTAGCAGCAAGGGGCTGCCTTCATGAAGCTTGTAGTCTGGTAGAGGAGCCATCTAACCACATTAAGGAACATGACACATATAGAGGTAAAACTTCATATTAACGAAGATTTTCTGAAGCATGAAAGGAGCTTCCTGTGTTTCTAAGAAAAACTACATCGAGTGGGATTTGGGGATGAAGGAATACATAAATTGTTAGTGGAGGAAGCAAAGTGAGTTCTACTGGGCACAGCATATACAAGAGTCCTAGGGCAGGAGCTGTATCAACTGAGGGAATGGTTGGTGAAGTTGGACCCCAATAGAGAAAGAGGACACAGTGAGCTGTGACTTTAGGGAGGAAGGCCAGGTTGAAGAGGCAGAATCTTTCTGGCCATACTGAAGTTTTTGGCCTTTACCATAACAGCAAAGTGGAGTTTCTGCTTTTAGAAAGGGATGGATGGTGGCATCAGAGTTCTGTGCTGTAAGACACCCCTTCTCCCTGTCTACGATGTAGACAGAAGCCTGCTGGGGCTGGGGACTGCTGCCGGAGTTGAGTGGTGAGGGTGGTGGAAGTGGTGAGGGGGATGAACTACAAGGATGCCAGGCAAGATGGACAGAAGGGGACAATTGGACGTCGATAGTAGGAGGAAGTTGTTAGGAGTAAAAGCAGGGTGTGTGGATAGGTTTGATGCTGGCAAAGGAGCGGATAGAAATTTGGGATGGCTCATGATTTTGATCTAAACAACCAAGCAAGTGGTCATTCCATGGCTGAGAGGGGAGACTGTAGGTGTGGTTTTAGAGATGTGGTTAGGGAAGGTGAGGACAGCAACCCTGGGGAAGTCCTGGTTCTTTCTGGACTCTGGTGGGAGGTCCTTAAGTAAGCACCCAGTCCACAGAGCTCAGAAAGGCTCCTGTTCTTTCTAGGGCCCAGAGCCAATTATTATCTTTAATGAATTTTTAAATTATAAATCACCGAAGTAATTTATATCACCAACTTTTACATTTCCTAAGTAATTTTAACCAAAATTAACTGCATACTAGGAGGATACATTGTTTTTTTTTAACTGCAGGGCTATTTACATAGCTAATGATCTGCATCATTAGATGCTGGACAAATTCTTTTCCTCAGAGGGGAACAAGCCTCTCAAGAGTAGATTGTCCTCTTACTGACCCAGATGAACATTCAAAACCAGAAACAAACCCTTCTTTACACATGAAGCCAGAAGCTTCAAGGCACAGACATGCTTTCCCTACAGAGCACTGCCTGGCCTTTCTCAGCCCTCTCTAATTAAAACAACACACACACACACACACACACACACACACACACACACACACACACACGCACGCACGCACGCACGCACGCACGCAAGCGCGTGCGCGCACACACACACACTAATCACTTTAAAAAATTCTATCAATTACAACTACATCCTTTTCTTTTTGTAGCTGAGGTTAGGCCTATATTTCAAGTCTACATTGGTTAGAATTTTTTGTATCTTTTGACTCAATGTTTTCTTTGCTTTCTTTTCTTTTGAAGTACTGGGGTTCAAATGCAAGGCCTTATGCTTGTGCTCATTAGGCGCTCTTCCACTTCAGCTACACCCTCAGCCACATGATGTTATAAGTTATAGATTTATAGCTTAGAAAAATTACCAGAAATGTAGGGGAAAAAAACCTTAATTTGTAAAAATTGTTGCCTCATATTACTTATTGGAAGGACTAAAAGATCAGCAAAGGCAGAAGGTTAAATAAGCTCCGCTCCAGTCACATGTGGAATAGCATACAGTCATTAAACTGCTCAGGAACATATTTGGGGTGGTTGGATAGAGACGGCTCTGTGCTTGATTATACACCCTGAGAACCGTGTGAAAAAGAACAAGGTTGCATAAAAGAAGGGTTGGGAGGCTCCAGTGATTCTTTAGTATCTGCACTTTCCAGATCCTTCAGGATAGGTCTGTGCTACTTTGACTAATACCTCCTTTTTGCTTTGTTTTATGGCTAGTGACTAACATTCTTATATAATTCTAAGTTTTTCTGGCTTTTCTGGATGTTTGGTCCCTGGTTTCAGTACAGCTGGTCTTCACTGAGTGCCTGCCTGCCTGACTGGCCACTGCACCGAGAGTACAGCATCCAGCTTCCCATCTAATCCCCAAGTGCACTTCCCTCTTCCTTTATAAAGGGGGCACTGGAGCCTCTGGGCTGCTCAGGTTGCAAAGGTGATACATTGGCAGGGCAGGCTGCAGGCAGGTGTATGGACTTCATGTGATCAGAAGGAAGTCACGACAGATTTCAGAGCAGAAGACAGCTCACTTTAATGGTCACATAGAGAACGGGCTGACATGAGAGTTTCCTTTCTGGGAGGCCGTTATGGTGGAACAATGAGGAGGTAAGATTTGGACCTCCCGTAGCGATGTGGGCGTGATATAGCAGGAATGGGAGGAAGCGAAGAAACAAGCCTGACAAGACCGGAAATACACACATGTGGAGCCATATGACATCCAGAATCTACCTCCCAGCCCTGACTTCTCATGACTAGGTGAAAAATGAGGGATGATACAGAAGCTGTGGGCTGCATCATGAAGCCAAGGTAGTTTCCAGAGGATTCCCATCAGGAAACTCCACACACACCAATTCATCAATACAGGTGGTGAATGGCGATGGGAAGGAAAAGGAGCACACTCAGAGTTAAAGTAACAGGAAGGCCACATGAAGGAGGCATTACTATTTCCTTTTCATAGATGAGGCACTTGGGGTTGAGGAAATTAAGTAATTTAGCTGGGCATGATGGCAAAAACCTGTAGTCCCAGAACTCAGGAAAGCAGATGTAGGAGGATGGAGAGTTACAGGCCAGCATGGGCTACACAAGGGCGTGCAGGGGACAGGGTGGGGGGAAGTGGAATAATTTTTTCACACTACAATTAGAACCAGAATTTCAACCCAAGTCTGATACACAATGGAAGATTCCTCCCGTAGTAGGCAAGAAGCTGTCCGGGGATGCAGATATGTCTGCAGGTTGGACAAGGAGGATCTGGAATGTTCCTGAGTAATTTTTGTTCTTTCCTGAGAACTATTAAGAGGCTAAACTGTCTACAAGGGATGCAGAGTTTGGTGAAAGAAAAAGTGGAAATTTGAGGAAAGTGATGAGGGTTTGAAATTGCTTCTTTGGAAAATAGGAAAAGCAGCTGGACAAGGAAGGGCAAAGGACTGCCAGGGAGCATTAAGGATCCACCTGGAGTATTTAGGATGTGAAGTTACTGTAGCAACTCTGTGCCTGTTGTTGATTTTTTTTTCTAGCAATCTAGGCATTGGCATGATGGAAGTCAGGTTGGTTGTAAGCCGAATATCTGCCAGGAAAGTTTGAGGAAGAATAATGGGGCTGGGAGTGTGATATGACATAGCAACAGTTGGACATGGATAGACCAGGGAACCTAAGGGAGGATGGAAGGGGCTAACTGGAAGAAAAGAGATGGGTGACAGATGTTCTGCATGGAGCTGATATTTATTGAATATGTCTCTACTAAGCTTCTTTTATGTGTGATCTTACTGAATCATCCCACTAGCCTTGTGTGGTCAGTTCCTAGGTTTAGACTGATTTAATAAGTATTTGACTCAAATTGGCAGAACTGAGTTGAGGGCCGTTCTCTGTACCACTGGCCTATCCTGGCTTCCTAGGCCAGTGATTTTGAGGTAGGGAACCGGGACAACTGTAGGGACTAGAGGCTGTGGTCAGACAGCAGAGTGTGTGTCTGATCTTGGAGAGGGTGCCCAGTCACAAGATCCAAGAGGAAGCCAAGAAAATGGAGAGCTATAATGGAAGGTGAATGGGAGGGATGGTGGAGAGATCTTCAAAGAAGCTCTGAAATGCTGGTGACATGCTACTTCCAGATGAATCGAACTAGAAAGCATGTCCCTACATGTGTGAATATATTCATGGAGGGCTACTGTGTGCAAACTTTAATTCATGAGTGAACGAGTCCACCGTAACAGATACTGGTGAAGAACTAGCAGCAGACATTTCCTCTTTCCCAAGAGTATCTCAGTTTTACTAAACTATTTACACATATCCCCTGTCTTTGGCCCAGGGTCCCCCAGAGGGAAGACAAAATCTCTAGTTCTTAGACTTTAGACATCAGAGAGCCATGGGAAGCCCAGATGCCTGAAGTCCAAGCCTAGGAACTGGTTCAGGTAAGAATGAGCAACCTAAGGCCCAAAGGCTAAGATGCTTAGCACCTCTTGGCAGGAGGGCCAGTGTTGCGGCAATCAGCACACTCCAAGGCTGAGAGCAGAGGACTCTAAGGGGAAGTGCGACAAAAGACCTGCAGCAGAGGACAGCCAGCCTCAATGATGGCATCCTGCTTGCAGCCTTCATGCCAGCCATTCTCTTCCAAGTGCTCAATGTTTGAACAACGTTGACACAAAGTCCATCTGTGCCATTGGCTCTCCTCTTCTCCTAACCCACTCTTACCATGGGGCTAAGTTACTTTTCTAGAATACAAACCTGAGGACACTTTCCTCTTTCAGTTCCTTAGCTGGAGACATAGCGATGCTAACCACAGCCCAGGCCTTCTGGAGTTCAGCTGCTTTGCATGAACAAATCTAGACTAAAGCAGGGTGATGAGGTAGTTGTGTAGCAGTCAGGAAGCTCAAGGTAGACAACAGAAGTGTAAAGGCAAAGTCCAGCTCCTCAAACACCACCCCCTCCTGCCTCAAGGCCTTTATCACAGACCATGGCAGATATCCAATTTCATTTCTGCAATTTTTTGTGTATGCTGGTCCTGGGGCTTGAACT